GCTATTGCAGACAGAAACAATACTGTACTACATAGATGTTTCCTGTCGGCTCAATTTTTGAGTGGACTTTGCTGTTCCGATGAGCATGAACGGTATACGAGTGGAGCGACTGAGCGGAGCGCACACGCATAGAGCGGGATAATACGCAGAGCGTCACACCACGTGAAAGTGAAACCTGAGCGGAGAACAAATTTTCAGCAGCCGAAATTTCGGTGCATCTCTAAATATTGGCGACATCAGAAATGGATATTATATAATAGATGCTTTTTTGAAAATTTTAGCTATTTAAAAATATAAAAAAAACAATTAAAAAATGATTTTTTACATGGCAGCCCTGCTCTCGACAGACGGCACCCCGGTTGGGAAACACTGCTCTAAAGAACACTGAAGGTAAATAGAAATGCTCTCTGCTTGCAGAGCATCAGTCACGCTTGTCAGGGTGAAACACACAAACACACAATTTTATCAAATAATTAATCATTAATAGCTGCTCACTTCCACAATTTGGTATGACTGCGTTCATATCAGCAGCAAACCGTACCAGAGTTCACTTGAACCGTACCCCAGACCACCCCTTTTAAGCGGACTCGGGTACAGAAGACAGCTTTCACATCATCCAAACGTACCGAACTCTGACGTCAGTCGAACCCGGGTGCGCACCTAAAGTGCTAGTGTGAAAGCACTTAGTCTCATCTGCCTTAGAATCTTCAAGGTGCGTTTTGGCTCAGTCGTGACTGCATGTGGCCTTTCTTGAGGAGTGGCTTTTTTCTTGTAACCCTCCCATACAAGCCACATTTGTGGAGAATTTGTGATGTTGTCACACACGCTTCAGAGCTGCTGTAGGCCTCTTGGTCGCCTCTCTGACCAGTTTCCTCCTGGCTCTTTCATCCAGTTTGGATCCAGGGAGGGTCTGTGTTGTCCCAAATACCTTCCACGTCTTAATAATAGACTTCACTCTGTTTCTTGGCATTGATAAAGCCTTTGAATTGTTTTTGTATCTCCTGACTTGTTCCTGTCCACAACTTTATCCCGGAGATATATTTGACAAGGCCTTGCCATCCATATTTGAATGTTTGCTTCAGTTGCACTACCAAGGAATTAAAAAGGCTCCAGGAAAGCTCTTTTCATGTTGAGTTAATCAAAATGACCACAGCTGAGCACAGTTAAAAGTCAAATGGCTTTGTGTGCCATTGAGAAGGTGATCAGCTACACTTGATTGAGTTTGCATTCCATTTTTAGGAGGGGGGTGATCCTTTGACCAACTCAGTGACCTGTTGGTGTTATATCTTTCACTTGCCATGCTTTCTAATGCTCGGATCTTTAGGAAGGCTATGCAACGTTTTTGGAGTTGCAGTTTCTTTACATCCACTGACAGAACAACGTCTAAGTGGCATGAGTTGTTCAGAACACACTTCCTTGATTACATACAACGATTACACGTTAAGGTACGTTTCGAGGTGACATTTTGATTCTCCATTTTATGACCATCTTAAAATTTTGTGTACCTCTTGTGCAAAACGTCAGTTACATAGGAGCACATGAGATTGCAAATATGCAAACATACATGCATAAGCATGAAAATGCACATAGAAAGACCCTTTCACTTTGCAACTATGCAAAGACAAACCACAATCTGGAGTGAGTAACCATGGAAACACATACACTGTGTTGTCATCCTTAACTTAGCAAGAACAGCTACATGCATCTCTGTTAGGGATACATGTACATATGTGAAGTAGCCTAAATTACTTTGCATACAGAGTAATACAAAACTGAAAATTAAATATGAGGCATGATAATTTCATGATTTTTTTTATTGTTTTGTCTGCGCAATACATAATTTAAATATTGTCCTGTATTGCTCTCTTCATGTTTGACAAGGTTCATATTTGTTGTATTTCTAAAACAATATGACAAGCTAATTTGTATGCATGTCAGCCTGGCAAAATAATTTGCAAGCCTCACTTAATTTAATTATCAAAATGCACAATGCATAATGGCTCTGGTTCTTCCCCTGTTAAACCAGATGCAACACTGTGTTTTATTAGAAGATTCTGTATTTTTTATCTTGCTGTGTGATGGTACTTCAATCTTTGCTAAATCACTGATCTTTCGTGTGTTTGCATCCTTGTTATTGACACTGGTAGGGACGTTAGCTCTTGTGTGCCTAGCGTGAAATAGTGTGATATATACCAGCAATGGAAAGAGGTGAGTCAGAATCTGTGTCTCATCTGCATCTCTTAAGTGCGACAAATGCTAGGCCATTTCCTCAGATTTGAAGAAAGCCGCTAAGATGAGAAACACAACCACAAAACCATTATTTTGTCATGATAAAGTACAATCTTCAGCATCTTATGTTTTTTTTAGCTTTTTGCCTCAGAGACAAATGCAAATACATGTACTCCCTTATCTCTCTCTCTCTCTCTCTCTCTCTCTCACTCTCTCTCGCTCGCTCTCTGTTTTCTGTGCAGCAGCTGTTGCTTTATAAAATCTGATCAAACAGTTTTTTTTTTTGCAATTCAGTTTGTCTTCCAGATTTTAAACTAGCTACATGGCTGATATTTTTTCCCCTTTTTCCCCCCAAAGTTTTGCACACATGCAATACAAGATGTATGGTAAGTAATATATGGGAAACAGGAATGGGCAAAAAATATTTTAAGAATTGGTATCTTAATTGGAATTACATACATTTTTGGAATTTTAATTTATGTGATTACATCATAATATATAATTACATCATTAATTTTGGCTACTTATAATGCCTATATATATATATATATAAGATATTCTTTGTCTTATGCAATTACTTGGCATAATAAACAGTCATAATTAATAATTATTCAAATAATTTGAATATCCTCCAATGTTCCACACGTATAGCACTCATATGAATTTAGTATGGTTTTCTTAAATTCAAATCCAAATCGCAAATCTACATCTTGTTTCTTATATTATCTAAAGAAACACAACTCAAATGCAGAGAAAAAAGCAAGGGGAGAGATCAGGAGAGAGGTGAAAAATAATGACACATAAATACATCAAGGTGAGACCAAGCAAAACTGATTTAGCAATGCTGAGGCTCTCCCTGGTGATCTCTGAGCTTACTGATCTCTACACAGTGTCTAGTTGTAAACTACAAGGAGTGAGCTTCTCAGAGACGTGTGCTGTGAGTCACTGCTGCATGAGAAGCACATTTATCACACCAGAAGTACAATAGATAGATATTAAACTATACACAGATGATAATACTTCTATTACAAAAACATTATATGATGAAGCAATCTTTGGCATGTGAGTCATGGAGATTTTTAATTATTCTACATATATAATACAATAAACAGGATGTGTTCTCTCATTTGAGAGATCAAAACCCTGCAAGTGACTGTCTTAATGAGTGAGTTGAATCCTTAAATCAAGTGATTCGTTTAAAAAAGCTATAATACATTTAACTTAGCAAACGACTGTACTTACAGCCTGATTGAATCATTTACTGGTCCATGTAACACTGAGGAACAAAACACCATGTTGGAAGCTGTTAGCCCCGGCTGGCCCATTTAGCCCTTTTAAAATGTAATTTATTTAGTAGAATTTTTAGGATCATTACTTCAGTGTCACATAGTCCTTC